AAAAAAAAAAAAAAAGTTTGAAAATATACTTGCATAATGTTAGCAAATATTTATGAGATTGTATCATACATATTTTGTTTTTCCAAAATGGTACTACCTCTACTCACCCAAACCTATCATAATTCTAGTTTGCCCTCTAAGCATTGCTAAAACCTTCGCTAACAGTGCACCAGTCTTTTATACCCTTCATTTTTTTGCCATTTCAGAATATATGCTGCTCATGTGACTACCCTCTACCAATCATACTGTGCCATCTATACTAGTACAGATAGCTCCCTCTACCATTCTAGCACAATCCTCACTTTTTTGATTGGCATTCTAGTGTATAGACATGTATTTTAACGTCTTCTCCATGTGACTTCAAAATTTTGGTTGTGATTGATTACATTTTTTTTTAATGGAGAGAATTGTTCTTATTGCTCACAATGTCCTAGACAAGGTGTTTTCACTGGATGTTTTGCCTGGTTGGATAGCAACTGGCATGCTCTGGTGTGCCCCTTGGCACCTATTTAATTGGGTCCTTTGTTGATTATAAACTTGACATTTTCTTTTTGTCCATGCTGTGCTGTTTCACATCATAGTTATACAACGCTTCTCTAATTAAAGGTGCTGTACATCTCTTTCTTCAGGCTGTTGTGCCTGCCTATTACATTTTGCTTTGTATGTATTACTGTGTTCATTCCTTGGTGAAGAGCATACCTATTCCAGAAGTAGTGTTATATCCCACACATATGCCTTCTTATTATGACACACCTGTTTTTTCAAAGTGGTTGCTCTCTGCTTGATCAAATACTGTCACACCTTCCCTGGCCCTGGAGGTAATACTGTTTCGGATCTTAACATTTTCTTGCACTGAAAATATTTCTGTTAGGTACTTTACCTCTTCTCACCAACTTCCAACCTTTCCTCCCCACTGATATGCCAGTGTTTTTAGTTTGTACCTGTCAATTTGCAACAATGAGGATTGTGCTAGAATAATAGAGGGAGCTAACTGTGCTAGTATAGATGGTGCAGTATGATTGGTGGAGGGTAGTCACATGCTCTGAAATGGCTCGAAAATGAAGGGGTATAAAAGACTGGTGCGCTGTTTTAAAAACTTTTTTAGCAATGCTTAGAGGGCAAACCAGGATCAAGCTAGCTTTGGATGAGAGGAAATACATTTGCAGTGTAAGAAAATGTTAACTTTTATTATTTCTATCTGTTTCAATTGTAATATTTAGCTGTTTGGTATTTTTGTATAATTTATATGTTTTTACAGTATTCGTCTTTTGCAGTTTTCTTAGTAAAACTGACTGGGAAGTCTTAAAATATATTTATATATGTGTGTGTGTGTGTTTTATAGTCATCTTATAAAGTAAAAGATGTACAGTCTAATAATAAATCAAATATAATTATTTGCATTTTCATTAAGTAAAACTTGAAGAATGCAAGAACCAGAAGCCCCAGAAAAAATGGGCTTTAAAATATGTATTATGATTGAGACATAGCTAGCACTTACAAGTATTCTTCAAACATACAATTTAGAAAGTTCTTTTGTAAACTCATTGGCTATAGAAACTACACAGAAAGATTAAGAAACTTCAAGAAAAAGAGCTTAGTATAGATGATCTTGATGATGATAACTCTGCATACATAGAGGAGGAAAGATTCAAGAAACGAACCATGAAAGTCTGGAACAAGTTGTGTGAACTGAAAGGAAGAGCATATGACACTGGCCGGCAGACCCAGAGAAAATTCCATTATAATGGTAAGTTTTATGATCTGTAGTCGTAACATGGATGAAGAATTGTTGAATTCACTAGCTTCTGGATGCTTAAAGAACCATCAGACATAATATATTCAGTCATATCAAGTTCTTGTTGTCTTGGTAATTTCAACATTTGTGAAGGACTTGGGTAACTAAAATACTGAGAGGATACATGAATAGTTTATAGTTTTGGCCTTGTGTTTAATATTCGAAATTAACTCTTGTCTGAGGTTATTAAACATCAGATGGACCACCAGGTATCCTTAAGATAATGGTCTGATGTTCTGATATAATTTTTAAGCAAATGAGCCCCACAGTAATGGAAAGCACCATCACTTCATCTATATTTTGTGTCAATACTAACTGTAGCCAAGCATATATGTTTCTATATGCTCAACTTAATACCATCTCCTGAAGTATTGCCATGAAATATATATATGTAACCCTAAATCTGAGCATTTCGTATTTTTGTCTTTAATTAATTTTTTTAAACTAAATGTTATACATGAAATAATGTAGTAAAGCTATTTATAGTAAGGCCAATTTTACTACGCTCTCACACAATAAGCAGCTTATATTGGGCACTTGTTTAACAGAAGTTTGTAAGAGTAGTACTAATGGATAGTAAAGTGTCACCTGGAGCTCAAACATCATGATAATCTCTGGCTGTAGTAGGTCATATTGCATTCAATGTATTTTGAAACTGCCACTAATGCTGTCACTTGCCACCAGGAGTAGTGTGTATGGAGCTTGGGTAGTTTTATTTTCTAGTAAATGGCCATAGTTTTGATGCCATAGACCAGAATTGTCCTCATTTAGTCTCTGTTAAGACAGTCATAAAATGGGCTTTAGTACTATATCATTCATCAAAGTCGATTGCAGACTGAGCAGTAACCTTTCAGCAGGTATACCTTAAACTTCTCAACTTACTGCTGAAACTAGTAAGGTCATATAAAAAAATATATTATAGAATATCTTTTTATTTTTTGATAAATTTAGAAAACTGGCTGTATAATCTGGTAGGATAATTCTCATAGGTTTCAAAGTGCTCCTGCAAACCTAGTAAAAAGAGATTAGTGTTACTAGAATAAATCATGATACATAATGCATTTTTATGAAATTAACCAGAATATATAGACTGCTACAATACCCAACATGAAACAATGTTTTTAGAGGGGTGCCTTTCATAGTAGTAACTTTTTATTATGATACATCATATAAATCAACATTGTCTTTTGGGTTCACTGTTTGTTACACTTCATGAAAAAAATATATACTCTAGTCATATGCATGTAGTGCATAAAACTGGGTGAATATATAGTAGTAAGGAGTGTAAAGTTTAAAATCTACAATTGTATACTTCTCCAATACTTTCAGTATTTTATGTCTTCTAACATGAGATTCATCATGTAAGTGATCATGTTAGTTGTTTTTTTTTCATGCATTCTATGATGCACATGCTGAAAAATTTGTATCCTGTGTTTCAAGAAATGTGTTCAAATACTTAATTATTGTTTGCTTAAAATGAATTTAATATTACCATTTGGCTTGACTCTGATAGCTGTCAAAATGAAGTCATCCTGAACTATATATTGGTCAAGGCTTATGCTTTGTTATGTGCTCAATGGTAAATTACACTGATGATTCACTTATTTGTAAATTTTTAGACAACTAGAAGTTAATACGTGTTTGATTTTCACTAATTTCTTTGCAGTTCAGTCCAAAGGAATTTAATATACTATACACTGATTATAATAAAAGCTAACCTTGTGTTTCTAATTGTTTTCATGCATGTGTGAAGACCTGTGTATTGATCATGAATATCTATCAGTGCTATAAATAGATATAACTTACCTAGCTCACCAGAAAAAACAAAATGCCTGATTAGATTTAAAAAGTTAATTTGGTTTGTAACATATAGACTTGTTTTCATAAAAATTAACTGATTTTGGAAAATATTTAGTAATTTAAAATAAAATTCTATCAAGTTTAATTAATATAAACTCTAGAACTGGTTCTCATGAATATTTTTTCTTAATACTTAGTTTCTTTTTAAATTTAAATTCAGATTTGAACAAAAAGTAAATTCTGAACAGCAAGGTTTGGATTTCAGTTGTAGAACTTGTTTCATGGTTGATTTTAAATTTTTTGGAACTAAGTTACAAAATGAGTAACGTTGTGTCGTAATGAATTTTTATTTTCAGTCATATTTAAGTAAAAAAATGTAAAATAGCAGAAGTTAAACAGTTTTATTATGCAGTTTAAAGAACAATATTAAAGTGTGTCAATGAGAATGAATGAGAATTAATTTGCTTTGCATCCAGGAAGCACATTTTTACATTAATGTGACTAATGATATATTCAGGTATATGCAACTGGAGTGTCTGTGTAGAGTGTAATCTTCTTATTGCATAATCTTCAATAAGCAGGTGGCATGGATGTCTGTGGAGTGTAAAAGCTTACCTTGCTAAGTGAAAGCAAAGAGAACTTAGACATTGGTACGTGTAATCCTCTAGTGCAGTGGTTTTCAAATGTTTCAAGCTCACATACCACTTTTTGTTTAATTTTTTAAAATTGCAAACCCAGGCCTTGTTTTAAAAAAAAGATAAAAACCTAGTATCAAAAATTCATTTTTTTAACACTTACCCATTAATAATGCAAAGGATGCAATGATTTATACTCAAGTATTGAGCCTGTCAAATTGAAAATAAAGAAAAAGAAGTACACAAAAATCATGAATTTCTGAGAGTAACAAACACATAAGATGAAGAAAGTATAAGGGCTGTGATAATTTTCAAATTTTGAAAATTAATTAATCATTTTTATAAAATCAAATGGAATTGGATCATCATAGGACATTTTGAATCTTAAATTATAAAACATGATGAAGGTATAGAAATATCCCAGATTAAGAAGTAGAGATTAATATAGTAAATATATTGTATCTTTTTCTAGAAACAATATATCTGCATGGATTTATTCTTGGAATTAACTAACAAAAATTTAAAAAATTCTTACTTTTTTTGCTATGTTAACCTGCATTAATTTTACAGGATGTTACAGTATTAAGAAATTGCAGTAAAAATGTTTTCTTTGGTTTCTCCCAGAATGAAGCATGAAAATCTGCAGAGTATTAAACTGATATAAAATGTATTAAATTATTCTTGTTTTGGAAAAAATACTGAAATTATATACAAACAGGTGAAACATCTTACTTCATTAGCATGTAGTATTTTGAATAATGCAAACAGACTTGAATGTATGGTAGTTTTTGAGCTATTTTCTTCACACATTTAAAGCAAAAATGAAATGTACAATTCTATATTTTGTCATCTTATTTTTGTTCTTTTCATTCATGCTATACTTTTGCAGTAAATATTCTTTTAGTGTTAAATGCGAGCTTTTTAAAAAAGGGAGAGGTTATTTTGTACACACTATTTACTTTGTCTTGGAAATTGCTATTGACCATTTCTGTTGAACTGTAATAAAATTAATAAGCTCATCATAAAGTCCTAATGTTATTCTTCTTTGTATGTTTTTTTCATGCAATGTACAACTTCTGCAATTCATAACACAAAAGTAACAGATGCTTATAGCTCAACATAACGTATTATTAGTTATAGCTATTATAGAAAAGTAAGAACAAGTAGAATTTGGGCTATTAGTGTTATTGAATTTTGAGTTTAATTTTTAAATTTACTATCACATGTAAGTTCTGAAAGTTATCAGTTTGCAGTGAATTTTGAATTTATAACCACTTGGAAGGAGATAAAATGGAAAATAAAGTTAGTGTTAAATGAAACTGTCATTACACCTAGACTATAAACGACAAATATGTATCATAATTTCATTGAAAACAGTATAGGTAAATAGATTTACATACCTTCCAAATGTTGGTGGTGTGAATAAAATTTTGGTATGTTTAGTACATATGTGATTTTAAATAATGTTTCAGGATCCCGCTATGAAGAAATAAACAGAAACATAGAAAAATTTATCAATAGGAAGAAGCTTTTTCCAGATTACCATGATATTCTTGGTATTGTAAAGGAAGTAAACAAGGAAGATCCTGGACTCAGGTTTTTATCATCTCAAATGGACACCTTAGGTCAGTATAAACAGATTTGTGTTTCTTAAAGTTTTTAAAGAAACATACTATTATACTTCCATTTCTTTTTCTGAACTTGTTTATTTCAAACATGTATTTTTTCATAGCATTGTTTTCTAAGAATTTTTAAGTTACTATTAAAACGAATCTTAATGAATCAGAGTATATTTTGATATGATACATAATAGCTTTCCTCGATTTGTCATGCCCTTTATATGCACAATTTTTGATTGCTGCTAGCCTTGAGGCTTGCACCTAACTTCATGTGGTATAGCTGCATTGTAGCATGCAACAACCCTCCATCAATTGGAGTGCAACACCCTCCTAGTCCAGCTGGCTTCCTCTATTCTGTAGAGTAAAATCATCAGTTCTTGATTTGGCACTTGTGTGTAACGATATGTGTCTTTTTTTTCACTTGTGAAGTTTCAGAGATATGCATTTTTTAAGTGGAAGTATCTACAAAGACGTATCATTTTCTGCACCTGCAGGTTTTGTGGCCTATTATTTCACATTATTATTTCATTACTATCACTTTGTCTGGTGTGAGACAACAAAACATTGTTCATGTTAGTATCACACCTCCGTTGGTGTCGTGTTTGTCGGTTAGGAGAAGTGATGGCTTTTGTACAGTGGATTGTGTAGTACATGCAGCCTGTGTCTTATTTTGTACCTGACATACTTCCACCTATGTTTCCCATTTGTGATGGAAGGAATTTTGCCAGTTTTTTCCACTACCTATCTTTGCCGTATTTTATACTCATGCTGTCTTGAACCTACTTAAGCCTTTTTCATAATTTTGGGAGTGTGTTTCTCAGGTATGTTTCACTCCTCTTTGTAGTTTGTTCCATGCTTATTCCTTTTATGGTTTTTACTTTCTATCCAGATATGCTGGTCTACTGTCTGTTCCTTTTACTTGGATGCAGGCATGTCTTGTACTCCTTCCTTTGTTGCCTCTTATGACTAGGCCTAACTTCTTTCTGTATTACATTTCTTCGACTCCTCAATGCTGGAGTCTTTTCTTCAGATGTAAGGGGCAGATCCCCTCTCTTTTCTTAGGCTTAAGTTTTTCACCTTTGGCTTACACTCTCTACCCTTTTCCATTATTGTTCCTCCATTCACCTTTTTTCTGTGATAATCCACCACTCCCCTCAGGTTTTCGGCAGATGCTCATTCCCTTATCTTTTCTACAGTGGGTGTTCATCTTCATCAGCCTTTTCCATTTATTTTTAGTTGATCTGTTGCTAGAGTTTGTTAGGGCTTGATGCCCTTTTTACCCTTTTGCCTCTCTTTTCTCTCATATGCCTTCATCTAGCACTTTTCATCTGCCTGTGTGATTTTTCTTGTTTCTCTAGGGTCACATGTTGAAGCTGCATGCCAAAGTTTTTCCTTATTTTCACTGGTTTACTGTCTCTCTATCTACTTTCCTCCTACTTCCTTTTTTGCTCCCTGTCACCACTTCCCATTCCTTTGTTTCCATCTACCCCCACCACTTGTAAACTACGGTTCTGTCAGTTTTTGTAGTGACTCCTATAGGCTCAGGGTTGGTGGGCTCTGTGTAACAGGCATGTATGCTGCCAATGAATGGGTTTAGTTCTTCATGTTGAAAGTCTAGATGTTTATTAATAAGCTCTTCTATTAAATTCAATAACATTGATATAACATTAGTTATCAATTAAATTACACAAAATTTGTCTCAGTCATGATCTATATAACTGTATGAACAATTCTTCTAGGATATCTAAGTAATTCCACTTGAAGCATTTTCAAATCTACTATTTCTTTAGTACAGTTAATGTTCTTCACTTTTCTCTCTTTCTTTATTACTGAACCTTAAGTGAAACATTGTTAGACTAGATCAGAAATAGTATAATTACAAGGGGTTTGTGTGGCAAACTTCTTGAAGATTCTGGATTACTGCCATCTTCTGTCTGAAGCTGGAGAAGTGCTGTTTAAGAATTGGAAACATGAAATTATATTCACAATTTTTAGTGTTTTTCCAATTGTTGAAGAAGTTTAGCAGATCTACTTTCAAAAGTAGTTCTTTTACCTCGATTGGTACAAGTGGGATCGTTAAGCAACAAGTGGACTATTCTGTCAAACTGTAACCAAAATGCACTTTTTTATTGGTCCTTACAGAACTTATTTCTGTCCCTTATCTGATATCTTTGGCAAAATCATCCAAGACAATTAACTCTTTCAACCCGGGCTAGGCCCCTGGGACCAACCTCATAACCATTTTGTGGTTGTTATAGTTTTCATGCTATAACTTATAAATTAGTAAGCGAATGTTAACAAAATTTAGCACTTTATCAGTAAACATTATAATACTTTCATACACAAACTATCTAATTTGTTTATTAAGTCTTAAGGTTTGTAAAGCAATGTTTCTTTCATGCCAATTTTTTTTCACATCTTGCCTACCTATCATGCAAAGTAATTTTCATTCTAAGATTAAAAATACTTTTATGTATCAGAAAATTTTGAAATTTCACACATGAATTCTTTATAAAGTCCAGATAGTTATCAAACATTTCTTAAGAAAAACTTTACATTTTATCTGTTATTTTCAGTAATTAATATCTGTTCTGGTTTGGTAAATTTGACCGATCTCGCAACCACCATAAAAAATTAGAAAATAAACATAAATTATGCCTCTTTCATTCTAGAATGACAACAAATTATAACACAAGAACATAAATGTTTAGATGAAATATCTTAAATCTCATAACATTATACATTTATATATATTTATAATTTTTTATTGTATTGACTTTTCACCCATGTCTGGCTAACAATACAGAAGTTACAACTATGCGGCTCATGTCCACTCATATTACCGTATTAGATAACATAAAGATGACCTTGTCTTGGCTGTGTTTTAGTTTACTAGTATTTTGTAAAATACAGTCACATTTCAACTATTATACATTATATATGTATATATAGATTATTGCTATTTTTAAATAAGTTCTTAAAGTTATTTTTCCTAAAACGTAGAACAATAAATAAAGAAGTAAAGCAAACAATT